TTTTTTTTTTTTTTTTTTTTTTTTTGGCAATACTTATTCAAAAGTTTCAATAAGTTCCTATCATATTTTAAATAAAATTGAACTGCACCCAGATGCCTGCAAGGCCCTGCATGATCCAGCCCTGGCTGCCTGTTCAGCTTTGATGAGGGCTACTCTCGTTTTGGAGGACTGTCCACATCCTTTCCCACTCTGAAACCCTTGCAAATGCTGTTTTCTTGGCCTGGAAAGCCTCTCTCCTGGCTTATCCTCTGCCTGATCTTATTTATCACTCAGATCTCAGCCTAAATGCCATTTATGCTTTCAGAAAGTAAATTCACATATATAGGTTCTGAACGAACTAGAGTAGCTTGTAAAGAGTCTACTTGATGACAATTTTGAATCATTAATGAAACAGAACGCCATAATTGCTAATTATGCCAGTGTTCCACATTCTTGTTCACAGGCAGAAGACTGACCTCCAACAGTTACATTGGCATGATCCTGGGTGCCTGGATCAATGGCCTGTTTTGGGCTTTGATGCCCATCATAGGATGGGCTGGTTATGCCCCAGATCCTACGGGGACCACCTGTACCATAAACTGGAGGAAAAACGATGTGTAAGACACATGCTGACACTTTATAATTACATGACTCTACTCTACATTTCCCCAGCTGCATGTTTAAGCTCAGATCCTGGTTCTCATAGAGTATGGCAAAGCTTCCTTGGTCCTCATGATGTGATGCATGCAGGAGACAAAGTGGGAATTATGCTTGTTTGCAGTCAACAGCATCCCAGTGCTGTTTGTCCTGCTTACTCTGCCGCTCCTTCCTTCTCTGTCCTCTCCGAAGACAGCGATGAGGGTTGCCAATTGCCATTCCCAAACCCCCACATCTCGGAGTCAGCATCTCGAGCAGGAAGGGAGTCAGTAGAGACCAGGCCACTCTTAGCGAAGGTGCAGGCCACTCAACCACACAACAAAAGAGCAGTCACTGCAAGGAGTTACCCGCCAGACAGTGATGCTCATCTGTACTTGCCAGGGAGATGAGGGTAATTTAGTTCATGAAGGGAAATTACAACATTTGGCTCTGCCATCGCTGTGAAAGCAGCCCGGGCAGCATGTAAATGAACATTCAGGGCTGTGTTTGAATACAAGACAGGTGGCTGGTTGGGCTGACCTACAGGCCACAGTTTACCATCCCCTGCTCTAAGTGAAATTAAAGCCAAATAGAATTCCCAACATTTTAGTAATAAAATAACTCAGTGTTATTTGTAATAGCCATCTCTCCCTTTTCCTTCCTTCATTTAGGACATTAAATGAGTAGTTGCGCTTGTCTTTCCTTATTTCAGATCTTTTGTGTCTTACACGATGGCAGTGATTGCAGTAAATTTCATCTTGCCCTTGGCAGTGATGTTTTACTGCTATTTTCACATTGCTCGATCCATCAAATATCATTCGACTGATAACTGCCCAACGTTTCTCAACAGAGACTGGTCAGATCAGGTGGATGTAACAAAGGTGAGAAGCCAGAATCCTTGAAAAGTTTTTATAATCACGCTTTGGATCAATATGTAGTTGAAAGAGTCGCAGGGCTCTGCCCTGGTCTTCTTTCCTCCATCCCAGTGCTCACTCCCCAGCTCTTTTCCCTGGTGTTTGTGTCCGTATTTCCAGTTACAATAGACATCTACTGTTTGGATATCTCTGTGTTTTATCACCGTTGGGCTTTCTACTATGGACAATGGAGATTATCTCTTTCACACCGCCTACCCATCTCATTCCACACCCACACTTTCCATTCTGACACTCAGCAGATGAACATTGTTTGGTTAAATAATGGGCTTTCTCACTCTTCTCCCTGGGTTCAAATGTATCATAGACAGGATCCCTGTGTCCTCCTCCTGGAGAGTCCTTCCTGGTGTCTTGGAACGTCTGCTCTCTGACTGCCGTGTAGAAAGCCATCTCCCTGCCTTCCCTTCAGTAGCAGCTGTGGCTGCTCTTTGTTCCTTCACACAATCACCTCCTCTCTTTTCTGCTTGCTTGTCTGCTTTTTGTTGTTGTTTATTTCCTCTGATTTAGTGGACCACATTTGCCAGAAGGATCCTGATATTCCAAAGGACATAAAATGTTAAGACTTCGGAACTGAAATGTCTGTATTCTACTATTGTATTTGACTTATTGTCTGCCTGGTCTAGAATTCTGGGGACCAAAAGAGCAATCAGAAATTTCTGAAGGGATTGTTCTCTATCACTTCTTGGCTCCTGCATGGCTGCTGTAAAGGCCTTGGCATTCTGGTGCCTGAGCCTTTGTAGTAATCTGTGAGTTCCTTCTGGTAGTTTAGGAGATCTTCTCCAGGTCTTCAGTCTTCTAACTTGCATGCTGGTGTATATGGTGGGCTCTTCACTCTCCCAGTGCTGGGTACTTGTCTCACACATTGAGGGTGGAGACTCGTCTTCCTTTTTTGGGAGCATTCTTGAATTATGTCTCTAGTGATTCCTCCCTCTGTTTTCTCTGTTCTTTTTCCCTGGAAATCCTTTAACTTGACATTGATTTTTGGCTTTGTCTTCTATTTTTTTCTCCTCTGCTGTCTCTCCTTTTGTTCATTTTGTGGCTGTGTTCTTGTTTGTTTCTTCTTATTTCTGGTTTCTGGAAGATTTCTATAACCATGTCCAGGGCTCTGTTGAGGGTAAAGACAGTGAAGTCTAAATGGAGTACAAATTTAAATGAGCACCAAAAATCCAGTAATAAAAAGGAGTTTAATACAGTGATTTAAGAAATCAAAATTTGGGTAAAACCCATGTTGAACAAAATATAAAATTTTAATGGAAGACAAGATCTGACCATGCACTTAGAGAACTCCTTGCCTTGAATCTGTCCCTCAGCCTGACAATATCATTCAGCCTTTTTAATCACATTTTAACACTTCTCTCAGGATAAAACCACTTTTATAGTTAAGAGAGTTATTTTATGCAGTCTCCTACTTTTTGATTGTTTCTTCTTGTTTTATGGACCTATGTCCATATTTCTGTGGTATTTCATACATGCTTATATTTTATTCCGGTGCCCTGCATATTTTAGGGATGCACAGAGTTCCTCTGCCTGTCAGCGTGAGCATTCCCTCAGTGTCTGCTGGTCAACAACTGTCCCCCAGATTTAGGAGTGAAGCTCTGAAAAGCTGGGTGTCAACCAAGATGTGTTCATTACCTGGTTGTTTCTTTTGGGGATTTCTCAGTGTGTCTCTAGGTGTTTTATCCTGGGCTCACGAGTTCCCAAGAAGACTGGTGTTTCCTGTCCCTGTGAGTGTGGGGAGGAGCAGCAGCAGGTGCCCCACTTTTCTGGACAGTGCAGTGCGTGAGTCTGGCTCCCTGGGTTCTGAGTATCCCTGCCTCAGTCATGTTGCTGAGCTCCCAGAATTCTGATTCTCCAGGAAAGGAAGAAGCAGTCCCTGAGTGGAGTCAGGACCTAGAGAGGGGCTTTGGAGTCTGATTGCTTCTTTTTGCAGATTCCAATCAGTTCTTCCTCTTTGAGTTCCACGTGCAGCCCCTTCCTGCCGTTCAGAGCTACCTCTTACCTTCTGTTCTTAGACTTCTGTGGTTCTATAGAAAGGGTGAGTCTGCACTTGGGTTCCCTCACTGCTTGCTATTTTCAACATTTTCTTATATTTTTTTTAACCCTTCTCAGGTCTAATAAGTAATTCACCATTTGTCCAGCAGTTATTATTTGTTTAAGAAGCAAGCTATTGTCTAATCTTTGATTCTCTGTACTTATGAGTTTATGTTTTTTTGATTATTTTTCATCATTGTAGTGGAGTGTCATGAGGGAGAAAATCATTATTTCTCCATTTAAACAAGATGCAAAGGAACTCCTTTACAAAATTATCCGCATTGTATGTAAGATATATTCAGTTCAAATGGCCTGTGGTAGAATTCACTGAGCTCAAGATAGGACTTTACTTGCAGGCTGAATTTAGAAAATGCTTTTTTAGACAGTCATCTAAGGGGAGAGAGAGAGAGAGAGAGAGAGAGAGAGAGAGAGAGAGGCTTTTTAACCTGTGTAAACCATTCTTAAAAGCTCACCACACCCACCATCTGCTAGGCTCTTGTTATCCTAGATGATTTCAGGCCCCTAAACAAAGAGCAGTAAAGGCAAACACTCCACCATTTTCTTCGTGTCGTAACCTATAGGAACGTACTCAAATTCCAATCCAGATAATTTTATGCTATCTTAGCTCTATTCAGCATTTAAATGTTCTCGATGCTGTGCATGGCAAATGTGCTTCTTTTCCAGATGTCTGTGGTGATGATTCTGATGTTTCTGGTGGCCTGGTCCCCTTACTCCATCGTGTGCTTCTGGGCTTCTTTTGGTGACCCGAAGAGGATTCCTCCCTCCATGGCCATCATAGCCCCACTGTTTGCAAAATCTTCCACATTCTACAACCCTTGTATTTATGTTATTGCTAATAAAAAGTAAGTAAAGTCTAAAATGCTTTTTTAAAAATGATACAGAAAGAATATTCTAAGTGCATGATGTTCTCAGACTTATTAAGACACAAGAGACAGAAATTTGCTCCAGCCTGGTGCCTGGTTCTTTGGCTCAGCCAACCAGAGCAGCACCCTGGATCTTAATGCCCAGAGCTCCAGCTCTGTGGTAAGCTCTTCCCACACGGTGGCGGAGATATCCTGGGCACCCCAATAACCGACTTCTACCAGTCCAGCCCCTCATTCCTTTGTCAGCTCAGTCCTAAGGGTCATGCATGGTCACCCACCCCAAGTACATGGAACAGTGGCTTCCAAACAAGTGAGTGATTCTCTTGCCAGGCAGCAGGCACTGAGATGTTGGGCTCTTAGCAGGGGGCATAGTTGTGCGTTTATCAAACAGAAGACGTTCAAATGCAAGACAAGAATCCAGTGTTAACACAAAGGGCTCAAGAGTAGGCATTGCTCAGGATAGTAGAGAAGCCCCCACCACCTTCTGATGGACTCTCAGGGAAGTGCTGGTCCTGATGCCTCAGCAACATCTAGATTGTTCCATTTCCTGTCCCGCTGGGAGATGGAACAGTGTACTGTACTCAGAAGAGACCAGAAATTTGATCTGGAATGCCAGTGCTGCTTCTGTTAAGTGGGTATTCATGTACGAGCTTAGGAGAGCAGCTTAGGTGCAGGTGTGTGAGGAAACCCAACAACTTCAAGGCCAAACGTCCCAGATTAAGAATAAAGAATACATTTGAAATTCAGAGCTTGCTGGAAGTTCCCTGGGAAAGGTCAGGCATTCTCAAGCCCTCAAGGTCAACAATGGCCAGGTGGATGAACCTGCTCCCTAGTTCAGAAAAATCACTCATCGCACTTGACATGTAAGGCATCCTTGTAAAATAGCTAGGTATGGATTTTATTAGATGTCCTCAGTGTTGGTAACCAATGGTGCGAAGTTGGTCTTCACCTGTACCATGCCTATAACCCAGGCGTTCTCAGTGGTCCTCAGCCGTGGATGGTAGAGTGGAGGCAAAATCTGTTTGGAGGTGTCAAGGCACAGTAAATGCTTTCAGGGTTCCGGGCCATGGCAGGATAACGCTGGCCTTTCCTCTTTTGTTGTAGGTTTCGGAGGGCAGTCTGTGCCATGTTCAAATGTCAGGCTCACCGAGCAGTGCCCGCGATGAGCACTTTACCAATGGTTGCATCTCAGAGCCCATCAGCTTCTGGATGAATCTGAAGTGAGAGAAAAGCACACGCGATCAAAGCATTTTGTTTGTGCAGTGGTTTCTTTGCAGTGCTTTGTTTAAATAGGAACCTCTTTAGACTGAGCGTAGCTGGTGGTCGCTGCCCTATTGAGATTCAGGTTCTTCCTGTGCTCCCTCGGTCCTCGGGCTGGTTTGCCGGGTGCTGTGACGCTTCTCTCCCTAACCCTATCCTGGTCACTCATCTCCTCTGGTGAATCAGTGCACGGGACACGTCCCTTTCTTCCTCTCTGTCGTGGCACACGTTGCACTGTATCGATGCTCTGTAATTTGCCTGGAGTCTCCAGGCCACAGTTTTAATCTTAGAATAAATTAATAATAATCTCCATAAATCATTACAGAAATGAATTGGCAGAAATGTCCCCAGCTAGAGTAAAAAGCATTTTTAGCACTGCAAAAATGTGCACTCAACTATTAACTGTTGTTTTTAAAAAAATCAAATGAACAGTAAACATGATTGCTTTTAAACTGTGTCAGTCACCACATACCCATATCTTCTATGGCTGTACGTGTGATCTCTGAGTTTCGTTATGCATTCTGTAATTTCAGCTCCATCCTTCTGTACATGTAATTCCATATAGCTGCCACTTGCTATGGCTGTGTCTGGAGTTCCCCCAGTGCCTCCTGCAGTCACAGGCGGGGATTTTCAGAGGCACCTGGATCTAGAGTGTGTGACGCTGGGATTGATTCATGGTGCAGTGCTAGGCTCAGGGCACTGGGATTAAGGGTGTGAGCGCGGCCCGCCCTGAGTAGCCTGGACGAGATAAAAGGGGCAGGCTGTTAAGGCTTCCTGTTGCTTTGCTGTCGTCTGCCCTCCATGAACTATTCCTCCTCGGCCACGCCATGTTGCTTTGTAGCCAGCCGAGTATGGACTGAGACCTTTACACACTATGAGCTAAACCTTTCCCCCTTTAATTTTATGTGTCGGTATTTTATCTCAACATGGAGAGAAAAGTAGCTAAGCCACCACTAAAAGGAAGTTTAATCAGAGAAGGGTTTTTTTGTATGCTTATTTTCTCATGTGTTCTTAGCATATGGGCAGTGTATCGCATGGTTAATATTTCTGAATATCACATTCTGCCTGGCATGTAGTAGGCATTCAATAAATACATGTCAAATGTTGAATGAATTTATACACTTGTACACTTGTCATTTTCAATTGTGATTTGACATAGCATAATACACCATTGTTAAGTAGCTGACATCTTAAATTGCTTCCAATTTTTGCTTTCACGAATGCACAGCTGGCAGCCTTTTAGTATAGGCCAATAGCCGGGATGGAATGAAAAGGGTCAGAAGGAAGCCTCCCTGCTTCCCTGCCTGGGAGCCAGCCAGCTCTGGACTGAAACCTCTGCAAACGGAGCTGGACTCAGTTTTAACTTGTGGGTATTGCGTACTTTGTCCCAGCAGCGCGAAAGTCACAAAGACACAGTCCCTTCCAGGCCAGGCCCCCAGCCCCCAGCACCGGCCACACCTCCTCGTGTTCCCTTCAGCTACAGACACTCAGCGGTTGGATCCAGTGATGTCAGCCCCGTGTGTGCCGCTAGGGAGAAACCCGAGCGGTTTATGTGTGTAGAGGTGATTTTATAATATAATAACTAATTGGATTTTTATTTCCTGTTAGAGCCTAGTATCACTAAAAGATAGGACAGTGGGCCTTCAACTTGCGAAACTAGGGTGGAATAAGTATGTTCTTGAGCAGAGATCACTGCCTGTGCTAACAGCACGCATTCTGGAGAACTCGTACAGCTACAGCCCTAGTGTGGGCGGATGGACTTCGCCCTAAAAACCCATAGCCGGACTTGGTTCATTTTGCTTCTGGAGGTAACTAGTACGAAACGACACCGATAACTCCAATCTAAACCAGTTTTGTGTCGTGTGCTTTTATCTTTAAAACCAAATCTTTAAAAAGCAAATGCAAAAAAATAAAATATATAAAGTGCATGTAAATAAGCTACCCAATTTCCTGGCTCCCGCCTAAGCCCCTGAGTTCTTCTGAACATCAAGTGTATTTTTAAGGTGTGACCGTTGCACCCACAGGAAAGTGACTTAGTGGGACTTTCTTTGCAGGTGTAGCCATGGGCAGCTAGTGAAGTTTCACCTCTCGAGATCGGTTGCTTTGCTGCCTCTTCCTGAGAGGCTGGGTCCACTGACCCCTACGAGATGCCCTTGAAGGTTAAGTAGCCACAGCTCCCAGCTAATCCCGGTAATCTGCGGCTGCTGACTGAGGGCTCGTGCTCCCGGCACACCGGTCTCCGGATGCCCAGGGTCTGCTTTTCCTCTGTGCAGCAGCCTCTGGAAGAGCCATGTGCCTGCTCATGTGTGTGTGCATTGTGCTTGGCTTGTTGCGGGGAGCGAGCTCTCCATGTCCCCCTCAGTGTTCCTGTGATTATCACGGCAGGAATGATGGCTCAGGATCCAGGTATGGCCTCCCTTGCTACTCAGAGCTCTGATGAAAGAAATACCCACTTGAGTCAGCTGGATTTGGAAAGCAAATTGCTTGACTCTCAGAAAACAGAGGTCTATTTAACTTATATAAACTTTGGTTTAATTGTGTTAGTACTGATTGTCCATACATGTCCACTTATCATTTTTATTCTGAGCAGTTTAGCTTGCAAAAACTTGCAAATTATTTGAAATTCTCAAGCACACTCTGTGTTAAAGCGTTCTTACGCTGCTACAGTGTTTCTTTCTGGAGGTCTGGCCGTGCACTGTGTGTGTTTGTGCGTGTGTGTGTGTCCAGCTCAGAAGCTGGTTCTGGAATGTGCGGGGCTGGGGAGGCATTACTGTCGGGACTCCCATCTTGCTGGAGGATTACTCTGTCCACAGTGGGACGGTGGGAAGGAAGGTCTCAAGAGGGACATGAGAGCGGTCCTTGCTGAGAATTCTCATTTTAACTAGTGGAACTGACAGAGTAAAAATGCTTAATGAACACAGTCGGTTGCAGACCTTGCAGGGGCTCAGTGATTTCACCTGTAGGTTGCTTTGGCCTCTTCCTGTGCAGGAAGAGTGGTGACTCATTTTAATGTGTGTCCCCTTTCAGATAGAATTTGAATGCAAAGCAGAAGTCTTATTAGTAAACAGGGTAAAACTTGATTTGTTTTCTAGAGTACTTTTTAGAATAAAATCAGATTATTTGTGACTCAACTAAAAAGAATAGCACAACTTTAAACAAATAATAACCAGGGCTCAGCCGTAGAGATGCTGTCTTGCACGTGTACAACACCAGGTCGAATCCCATCACTGCCAGTAGCAGGTGCTATCACTACGATGACTAGCAGCCTGTGTCTGAGTGGTTTGTTTCGCCATTTATAAGCTTTAGTCAACCAGTTTTCAGTATCTTTTTGAGATGTTAAAGATGGTAAAAAGGACAGAATAAGTTAAAAACCTTTCTGTCCAGGAATCATAGCTGTTAATAACCAGATTCTTTTGAGACGGTTATAGGCAATGCTTCCTTCCCGAGGCGGCCTCCTTACTGACCAATTGTACAAAAATCATAGAATATCACAACTGCCAGGAATGCTGGAAATAATCCAGTTTAATCTTGTCATTTTATGAATGAAGAAATGAGACTGTACTGAGATGAAATGATTTGTCAGTGGCCACAGAGGTGCGTTGATGCAGTGACTGAGTTGACCCCTGTGCCCACCAACAGATGAACGTATAAACAAAGTGCAGCACTGACACACAATGGAGCATTACTCTGTCATCTAGAAGGATAAACGTGAGTCACCTGTAGGAAATTGGAGGCACCTGGAAGTACCTGGAGACCGTCATGTTAGGTGAAATACATCAGACATAGAAGCTTCAAGATTGCAGAGTTTCTCTTCTGCAAGAAACCCAAAGTATAAATAAAGAACAAATAATAGATAGGTTGTAGGGAGGTAGGTTTTCCTCAAATGGGAAGGGGGTCAAGAGACGGAGGAAAGGGAAAGGAAGGGAGGGAAAGGAAATGAGAGAAGGGGCGAAGATGTGTTGTGTACTTAACACCACACAAGGAGCAGAGGCATTATTTACTGCACATGTGGACTAACTTTTAAGAGGAGCTAGATCCTCGGCTTCCCCTCCTGGCTTTTGCGTCACAGCACACTGAGATGCCTATCGCTCTGGTGATACAGAGTAGCAGTGACAGCTGTAAAATAAAATGAAGACTAAGACATCTCCAGAGCATTTCCATGACTCCATAACGTTTTCTCACGGAACTGTAGGAAGGCGGATGAGCCTGTGGAGGACGCTGGAATTCTCTGATGCTCACCTGTTTATGTTGTGGGCTGGCTTGAAAAACAAGCAGATCTAATGTGATGTGTCTTACTGAGTGACTTTTATTGTCATGATTTGCTAATTGGGTGTCGTGATTCTGACAGCGTTCTGCAAGCCTGTTTTTTGTTCATCTTCCGGAACATAGATGAGTATGATGGGGGATAAGTAGGACGTAGGATGTTCTCACATGAATGCACATTCTCAGGACCTTCGCACTTCCACCCCCATGTGGGACGGGCTTGCTTTCCCAGCCAACAAAGGAGAGCTTGGAGCAGCTTGACCAGGGCCATTCAGCGGTGAGTGGAGGAGGAGCAAATTCGAGTCTGGCTAATCTCTTAGGTGGAGAGCGTCGCACAGGTCACGCTGTGACAGCAGAGCCTGGCTTTAGGCATCTAAGGTGAATGCGTGCTTTGTCCCTTTCTCTTAGAAAGGATCAGTTCGGGGGATTCACGGCAGATTCTTCAGCACGGCCATCGCCCTCTGGGCTGGACAGCTGGGGCTTTAGAAAGGCAGCTCGTCCTCGCTGGCTGGGAGGCCCTGCACAAACGGCGTAGAATCAGGGACCATGTTCATTGCAGATGTAGAACAGGTTGTCGGTGATGGCAGATGGCTACGGGGAGCTTGTGGTGTGCCGGGCAGGTACAGAGCCTCACACCCGCTTTAATTAATCACCACGAGGGAGCCGTGGTGGGAGTGGTGGGAAGTGGCTTCCCCTGGCCGGAGGAGGCGGCACGGCTTAGACCTGAATCCAGATCAGGCCGAAAGTAGAGCTGGGCCCTTAGCTGCTCCCCAGAGGCTGCCTCGGCCGCTGTGACCCTAAATCCGAGGACGGGCGCCCCCTGTGTTGCCCCAGCCTGGACAGCACCTCAGAGACACCGGGTGAGCCGCCTGAGGCTGCTCTACTCGGTCCTTTGGTACACGACCGCGACCGTTTCACGGGGTTCAGCCCAACCCTTGTTGTTGTCGTGACAATGAATATGACGACGATGAGGATGAGACGGGTGACTCATTGTTAGTGACCAAGTCAGCCAGCCTGAATGAAACGGGAATCAAACTCAGGACCTTGTGCTTGCCGGACAGGTGCGGAGCCACTGAGCTACTTCCAGGCCCCCAAAAAGAGATTTTGTAACAAGGAGGGAATGAAAAATTGATACATTGTTTCCAAATGGGTCCTGAAAGCACCTCTGCATCCCTGTCTGATTCTAGGTCTGTGCTGTGTAATGATCTGGACATGAACGAAGTCCCCACCAACCTCCCAGCGGACACGGCGAAGCTCCGCATCGAGAGGACGGTGGTCCGCAGTGTCCCCGCCGAGGCCTTCTACTACCTGCTGGAGCTGCGCTACCTGTGGCTGGCGTACAACGCCCTGGCCAGTGTGGAGCCCAGCAGCTTCTACAACCTGAAGGGGCTGCACGAGCTGCGCTTGGACGGGAACGCGCTGGCCGCCTTCCCCTGGGCCTCGCTGGCCGACATGCCCCGCCTGAAGACCCTGGACCTGCGCAATAACCGGATCACCAGCGTGCCCAGCGAGGCGGGCAGGTATCTCAAGAACATCGCCTACTTGGATCTGTCGAGCAACAGACTCGGCACGCTGCCGCCAGACTTCCTGGAGAGCTGGCCGCACTGGGCTCGGCCGCCTCCCAGAAGCCCCGACTTTTCACCAGGGAGAGTGATCCTCGGTAAGCTCTCGAGCTTTGCACGCGTACACACCGCTAGCTGTCCAGTCTTTGAACCCTAACATTTGCTTTCTAACTCTGTATTTGCATCCAGAAACTCCTTTTGTGGCGCAGAGGATGGAATGCGGGGCCTCACGCGTGCTGGGCGAGTGCTCTAGTGCTGCACCCCGGCCTTTTAATTTTGTTCTGAGTCCTCTAAATGCCCGACGTGGGCTTGATAATCCTCCTGCCTCAGTCTCCTGAGTAGCAACATTCGGATTTTAGCAGAATAGTGCCTTAGCCGTTAACCTGGGTCTAGCCACCCGTTTCCCTGGTGTGGGGTGGAATGTGTGTGCACATGAGCATGTGCACGTGTGTGTGTACATACGTGTAAGTGTATGTGTAAGTGTGTGCGCATTTGTGTATGCATGTGCCTGTGGGGTGTCTGTGTGAGGGGTGGAGAGAAGGAGCCTCATGACTGGAGAGTCCATCGGTCTCAGCGGCCCCTGGGCTGGGGCAGACCCCATCCGCCCGGCCTGACTGGCGAGCACCCCAGTTTCCTGTCTGCTATGCTCAGCCCTCTGCTGTGTCCACTTTTGCCCCCTCAGCAGGTGCTTCTGGCAGGGAGGGAGGGTGGCGGTGCTCTCACGAGTGAGACCGATCGGCTTTGGGGGTTTCTTCACCACAGAGAGACTGCAGAGGTCGTCGCCATGGTTTTCCTGGGCCTGGCGGGCAGCGGGGAGCCACGCCCTGCCCACCCCAGCGTTCATGCTTTTGCAGGAGACACAGCTAGAAACGGTCCGGCAGTTTCGTTTGCCCAAGTTTCACTGTGGAGTCTGCCCACGAATCCCCACGGTCAGCTCCTCACTCTGGTTCCTGAGGCTCCCGCAGGCTGCGTTTCTCAGGACGAAGGACTGTGGGGCTTTAGCCGGTGAGCCACTGCTCAGGCCTTCGGGGCGGGAGGCAGCACAGACACCCAGGACGCGCTGCACACGTCCTTGTTGGGCAGACTTTCGTGCCCCGGGATCTGTCGGAGAACAACACGGATTAGAGTTCAGAAGAAACTGAGGGTTGGTTTTGTCAAGGGTAAGTGCAGGTGTCATGAGCCTGAACTGGGACAAGTGAGAACCACACAGAAAGAGGAACGCTCACCCAGGTTTCTCCTTCGAGGGCATTCCATGTACTTCTTGCTGCTCATCCAGTCCCTCCGAAGGTTTTGATTAGTGCTGTGGGATGAGTTCGAGGGGGAAACACCCCAGGAGCGTTTGCCGTTCCCTTTCCCAGCGTGTTGTCCTCTCTGCACAGTTTTATCACCCTGGGTTACTTCCGCTGCTCTCCAGGGCCTGGCTGGTGGAATCACACCCCTCGCGCTCCAGTGCCAGGCTTCATGCCTCTGCAGTGTGGTGCCCATGCCCACGGTCCCGAGTGCAGATCCTACCCAGTGGCAGGAGTGAACCAGCTGCTCAGCCTTTCTCCCACTGCTGGACACCTAGGCTCCCTCTAGTTTTTGGCTCTTGTGAGCTAGGCTTCTATTAATGTTCGTTTGTTTGCTTTTACAATCTTTTTGTGTTCTACATTTTAATTTGTCTTGGATGAATTCCTAGGGTTGGAACTGTGGTTATCCGATGGGTGTGTGTACAGCTTGTGAATAAACCTCAGATCTGCAGAGAGGCTGTGGAGCATCCAGGGTACATCCCCAGGAACCCCGGGGCCTGGTTCTCCATGTGGCCCTCACACTCCAGGCTGCCTGCTACGCTTGGTTACTCTGTGGGGTGGGCTGCTCAGTCCCGAAGCAGTGTCACACTGTGGTTTTAATTTGTATCTTCCTGATGCTGGATGTTGTCGGCCAGGCATCCACTTGTTTGCTGACCATTTGCAAATACTCCTTTATGTCTTTTTCCTAAGTTTTTAGGGGTTTTTAAAACTGTTGAATACAAATTATTTGACAGTTATGTGCATTGTAAGTGATTTTTCCCCAAAGTTGGCTTGTTTATTCATTTTTCAAAGAGCATTTGGTAGGAAAGTTATAAAAAGTTGGTATTATCAGATTTATTAGTTTTTAACAATTGATGCTTACTGTATAACTTCTGAGAAATACTACCTACCTCACACTGAGACGTTTTACTTTCTTCACAGTTTTAGCCTTTGTAGTCTTAACCATTGCTTCATGACTATGATCCATGTCAAAGTACTTTTTGAGGCATTGGGGTTTTTTCCTTAACAGATATTCAGTTGCTCTGGTACCGTTTATTGGAGACTTCCCTTTGTCCACTGGCTTGCTAACACTCCATCCCCACAATGCTGAGGAATTCACTGTCTTGGCCTTGTCTTATTGTCTGCAGTGTAAGTTTTACATGTGAATTTGTTGCTGACTTTCCACACACGCTGACACCCCCCCCCACAAATAGCACATTTAATCCAACTACTCGGAAGCATAAAAACATTTCATACTTCTGTTCTAGGAAGGGAGAAAGCAAAGCTGACTCACCCAAGAATAGTTGCATAAAATTTTTAATTAATGCAAATTATTATTTTCATTGTAGCTGCCTTGAAAGAATGAAGTGCGACTAGCTTTAACTTTAGAGAATTTTTTGGTACTTTTGTCCCTAGAAGAAAAAACATTCAATGAATACATTCTGTTCTTGAGTCACTTTAGGTTTTAAAAATTGTACCTTTGACTTTAGATGTTTCAAAACAGAAATAAATATGCATGTCATGTTTGAGGGATTTAAAAGTATTTACTCCTGGTTTCTATCTCTTTTAGATGTAACTATTTGATTTAATTTTATATAGAGAATTTTGTTTTACCATGAACACGTTTTGATAATAGTCTTAAGGTATAAACGAAATGATTAATGTTCTGACTCCTGGACCTTTCCAATTAGACATTATGCCCCAGATGTTGCAGCTTAGACCTTTTATTCATTGTTTATTGTTATATTTCAGATATACAATATGCTGAAATTCAGCATTGGGCATTTGTACTTTACATGACAGATCTTTGTTCTTATTTTTTCCTGTACCCCTACCCTCCCTTCACCCCCTTCACCCCTCCCAATTTACAGAGACTCTGTTTCCATTTCCTTTTCT